CATTTTTATTAATTTATAGTTTTATTGTCATTACAGGAAAAATATCTAGCTGAAGTCAACCCAACATAAGTTACTAAGTTAGCTTAACAGATTATATAACTTCAATGTTATGACTATAGTTGAGTATCTACCAATTCTTATAAGTTATAGTATCTTTAAATGATTATTATTTAGGACATTTTGGACAAGTATAACAAAAATCTATTGAATATTTTGTTTACTGGATCTTTCCAGTAATAATCGTAGCTAGATAATAAATCTACAATATTAACTTAAGTTAGGAAAGTAGTAAGAAAAATAATTGAGGTAAGTTGTAGGTACAGCATCAGGTAAGTTGGATAAGTAACTTTTCTTTAAATTATGAATAATATTATAAATACCAAAAATTTTCAATAAAAATCAAATTTTTGTTATTTTATATGCTTATAATTATGAATTAAAACCTTCTAACTTACAACTTGTTATTTTATTTCCAACATACAAATCCTCGCAACTTCCTTTACATTTAAATAACAAATGTAGGAGTCCACAAGAAAAGCATATTTCAATACTTGTTATAGGTATTATAAATTATAATTATCTACTAATAAACTATTTACTTATCGTTAAATTATTTATATTCTATTAATTTAATCATAAATAATTTGGGGAAATTAAAAAATAATGAGATGCCAAGTTATAAAAACCAAACTAAAGTCTTAAATAATATCGCGGAACGCGGAAAATTAATTTAAGATATTAACGCCGTGTGTAAGATAAAGACAGTAACACCTATAGTATTTTCCATGACAAATTAAATAGGTATGTCAGCAACTCGTGATACGCATGTCTGTGACGTAAGCATTTCTCCAACAGGTTGAGGGGTGGAGTGGTGGTGGGGTCTTCGTCGTCGGCGGCTATTGCGCAGTGACGCGGTGGACCAACGAGAACTGGAGCAATGCTTACGTCACAGTACTATGCTGGGCGGAGGGTGGGTGCGCTATTTGTTTCTAAGCTGGTAATATTGCTGACATACCTATTTAATTTGTCATGGTATTTTCCATCTCTTTCTAACATTCCCTTTCAGGCAACACTGCTTGGTGAGCATTCCAGTTATCATATAGTTCAATGTTTTATACTCTGATTTGATGATTTAAACATTGATATTGTGTAACAATTTCCTTAAAGTGCCAATAACTATACACTTTACC